ATATATATATATATATATATATATATGTGTGTGTCATTTTGGGATTTTGCACTGAAAATATTCAAACATTGTGTTATAAAATGGTACTGGTTGAGATTAGCTGTTTCCTTGATTATGTAATATTATTAAAGGTGAAACATTTGGCATTCACTGGCCAAACTGTTAGCTTATCAATCTTTTGCAGGTTATTTAAAGTCGGAAAATATTTTTAAATTGTAAGAATTTTTGGGAGATAATGATTTCATGATACAAATCATGCTAATTAACCTATAGCTAGAGGGAGAAAAAGGTGGATTTATATCTTTTTCAAGGGTATATAATGAATCTGACTGAAATTGGAATTCAGCTTTCTGATTAGCAATTCTGAGTCATTATCCATTACACCACCCATACATCTAAGCTTACAGCACCTGGTATTCCCAATTGGTCATCCATCTAAGTACTGACCAGTGAAAGAACCAGTGTCTCAATGTGACTTAACTGGAAGCCTTGTTAGCATTACTTTTGGTAGAAATTTATAAAATCTTTCTCTTTTATTCAGGAAAATACGTGTCTCAAGTCCACTAATTGTTATCGCATTTTACAGTATTGCTGAAGGTTTCCTTCCTAACCTTTTGTTTAAAGTAGTGTGGAATGACAACATTTTGATTATGCAATTATAATTATTCTCAGCAAGGGAAAGACAAAAGGGGTTAAAAAATATTAAATACTACATATTTCAATTTAATTGTAAAACAAATTCAGTTTTTCTATAAATAAAAATAAAATTTAAAATAATATAATGCAAAGTCGTAAGTCAAAACTCTGAGAAGGGAGAACAATAATTCTGAAATCAATGTTTTGACAAATAAAAACATTTTTAAACTTCTTTTCAGGATAAACTTTTTGGCAAAAGGTAAAAGTTTATTTAGATTGATCCACAGTCAAAACATTTGTTTTAATTTACAATCATAATTAATTCAATACTGAATAAAGTAATAAGTGCTTGAAAGAAAAGTGAATCTGTATAATGTTCTTTTCCTTGGGTGGGAAAAAAATGTTCATGCAAATATAATCTTACATTTTATTCACATATTGAAAAACAAAGGGTAGGTAGCGTAATGGTTATCAGCACAAAAGGTGGAATTGAAGAGCTGAGTTCAATTGCATTTACTTTCACACTTTCCACCACACATGGGCTAAATAGGAGGGTAGACTGGGCTTTCTAGCCTTGAATGTAAACCAGTCTAGGAGAAAGAAAACTGAATTTCAAATGTTGGAGAATGAAACAGGAAACCACTCCACTATCTTTACCAAGAATGCATAGCAATTCACAGACAGTAAAATGAAGGTATCTATAGAAAGCCATGATCACCTACATCCTGGAGGGTCATGGCTTAAAAAAAAAAAAAAAAAAAAAAAAAAAAAAATCAATTTTTTCATAAATTTGGGGCTTGAAAACATGGAAGTGAAAATTTTTTTTTCTTTTTTACTTTTATTAAAGTGTCTACTGTCTATAAATCATTAATTTCTAAAATTTAATGTGTGTGTGTGTATGCATACATGCACATTTTTATATTGAATATTCCCTGAAAGTTTCAAAGATTAATTGATCAATCTTTTCATTCCTTTCTTTACAACTTTCTTTAATTGTACAGTTCATAAGAGAAATTAAACACCTATTTTGGTAGTAAGGAGATTTCTATTCAATGACTAGACACCTGAATATAACGACTCTATAATAAAATCAATCATCAAAAATGTTATGGTAACAACAAAAAATAAACAAAGAATTAGTTCAAGAGTCCAAACAATTCTTGGGATGATCATGACTTTAGACAGTAACTTTGAAAACCATTATCAACAAAAAAAACAAAAAAAAAAACAGAAAAATAAAAGTGGCAGAGTTTGTTAATATTTTGATGTTTATTCAGCTCATCAAAACAGTTAAAAGAAAAGTCATAAGGTATCCTTTGTTAGGATAAGAAAGTCAACCTTGGCTTGTAAGGAGGAAAATATCAGACAAAATAATATTTTCATTGATTTATATTAATAAAATGAAGAATATTTTATTTTTTTAAGTCATTTATTTATAACAATGAAATATACAAACACTGTAAACAGTCTTTATTAAAATATGACTGATTTTATTAAATATATAATAAATAAAAATATTATTTTATTTTAAATATCTATTTTAAATGACAATATAAATTATTTTCTCTCTGAGTCTTCCCTATCTACAAATCTAAAATTATGACCTTATGGTCACTTTCAAAACATAACTGAAAAATGACTTGCATTTACATGCAAGTGAGCAATAAAAAAAAAATATTTTAAAAATTGAATAAAAAGATAATAGATCAATGGCCTTGGAGACATGAAAAAAGTCTAATTATTTGTGCATTGATGCATTCTTGATTCCTAAAGACAAATATGAACCAATACAAAGTTATGAATGTTGAAAGGTTTTAAACTCTCTTGAAGTTAACCAAATGTGTGATAAGAGGAAGATCTCAATGTAGGATTATCACTTTTCATTTGGGATTTGCTTAGAAATAACTTTCAAGAAATCAGCCAATCACTCAGTAACTTTCATTATATATATAAATTAATTTAATTAAAAAAGAGACAATCTTAAGTGTCCATTGATTGATTATATTTTATTTCCCCAGGAAATAAATTTTTTCCTGGTTCCTCAGATCATTTACATTGAGCTCTCTGGATTACATCCTCTTTGGGATTATCCATATGGATTACCAAACATTTCATTACCTAACTACTAATATATATATATATATATATATATATATATATATATATATATATATATATATATATATATATATATAAATAAATTCTCAGGTCACATTTCATTCACAGTATGTTTATATTAGTAATATATTTTGAAGTTGAAATCTAAAATTTCAAGTTGTTAATCTCAGAGACAACAATGAGTACATTTTTTTTTACAGTGATGTAACCCTGTACAACACTCAAGAGCCACTCGAGGTAGAGGGCCACAGAGCAAAAGGCACAGTTTATGGGAATATGTGGGGAAGATAATTATTGATCCTAGACTTGAACAGGTTAAGTTTGTAGTGTTAGGGGAAGCATTCTCTTGGGAGTCTGTTCCATAAAACAGTATTTGAGTTGAACTTGCATCTCACCAATGTAATATAAAGAGAATGAGAGTGGTTCACTGCAAGGTGAAGATGAAAAAGAAAACAAATGTATGTATAAACATGCTGCCTCTAAGATAATTTTAAATTAAAAAATGACTTAATATACTAACTTTATAGTATACACATAACAATTAAAAATTTTCCTGTTTCAGAGCAAAGATAAGTACATTATCATGCTTCCATAAATTTGACTGAAGAAAGTGTGAATGTTAGCAGTATGGTGGAGGGACCTGGAAAATATAACTTTCAAAATTGCTGCTTTTGATTACTGAATTTAATTTGGGTTTCAGGTTTTCTACAATTTAATTTTTACTTTCTATATTTAATCTTATTAATGAAAACAATTATTAAAATAAATCAAATTCAATAATGAAAGCCTAAGCATAAAATAACTTAAAAAAACTGTTTGCAATATGAGACAAAGTCAAAAAGATTAAAAAAATTAAACTAGATATTTGCTGGATAATGTGAGAATTGTGAAGCAGCCAACAGGAATTGAACTCACTAGCAAGGAAGGTGTATGTTGAGCTTGTATGCTAACAATTGCTCAAACAGAAATTATTCTCAGCAAGGGAAAGACAAAAGGGGTTAAAAAAATAACATACTACATATTTCAACTTAATTGTAAAAGAAATTCAGTTTTTCTATAAATAGATATAAAACTTAAATTAGAATTCAAAAAAAGAAAATGAAACAAAAGTGTGTGTGTGTGTGTGTGTGTGTGTGTGTGTGTGTGTGTGTGTGTGTGTATGGGGGGGTCACTTGAATTTATAAAGAACTTATAATTCGATGAGTCAAATCATTGGTTCTTAAAACTAGCTAAGAAACAATGTCACTTCTTGCAACATTATCGTTCCAATCACAACAGCAAATTAACAATATCAATTTAGAAATCGTTTTTTTTTTTTGGTAAGTAAAAATTGTTCACCCTCACCCAATTAAAGAAAGTATTTTTATAGCTAAATATTATTCAGTTAAATTTGGAAGGATATGAAAGTTGAAAGGTCTCCCAAATTCCAAGCATAAATGAGATTGGCTAATATGAATAATTTTAGTAGGGATACTAGACAAATAGAGAGGCAGGAGGAAAGATATATTTGGAAATTTCATTGAAGTGGGGGAGGTATTTTTTATCAAAATTTTCTTTAATAATGAAGGCAGTAAAGTGGATAAAGATAATAAAAATCATTTAAATTTAATCGCTCCCTCTTTTTCCTCTCCGTCAAAATTGAGTATTTTTGTCACTTGTAAAAAAACAAAAAAAACAAAAAAACAAGGGGGTTGTGTAACTAAAAAATGTTAACAGTAGCAGTGAGAGAAGAATTATTTTGGAAGCTGACGGGAGATGCATTTAGACAAGAAATTAATTTAATAACTGAAAAATAAATTCATATGTAATTAAAATTAAAACAGTTTTAAACTAAAAGCGAACTGAATAGTCATAAAAAGGGGTAGAAAATTTATCAATAAAATAGGGATCGATAACTAAAGGAAATATGGGTTCATCCAATAGAGACCAATAAAAAATATATCTACTCTTTCTTCTCGTCAATATGTAAGTAAAAGTGGTAATTTCGATAAACTATCAATCATTTTTTTGTGTAAGGGATGCACACTAGACAAAAAAAGCAGCAACATATCAGCATCTTGAAATAAAGATCATAGGCACAGAGCACAACATAACACAACGTTGAAAAGCATACCATCAGCAAGATCCATGTCTTTTTGTAATTCAAGGTAGTAGCGGAAAAAAGGGGGTTAAAGCAAGGTATATAAGCAAAAATAAAACGGTAGATAATCCTATGGTAAGAATATAAATCTGTCAATGTCTTGCTGCTAGAGTAAGAAGCAGCAACAGGACATTCCTGAAGTAGCAACAGCAACAACCACTTTGTCGGGTCCAGCAGCACGCCGGTAGGAAAGCATGTTTATGGAAAAGGGAGCGAAAAGAAAGACTGCAATCGAAGTGATTAAGGAAAGCAACAATGTGTTGTTCCTTCGTCTGCTACTGCCGCCCACTGCCGATTTTGAAAGGCTGACAGAGAAGCAAAAGGGTTCCGTGAAATCCGAAGGGAAGAATGATTCATCGGAAAAATGCTGATACTATCATCAGTGATAGTGATGATGTAAAATTCTGCAAGCAGCAAAGATAACGGTCCTTAATTCCTTCACACGCGAATGTTTTTTTTTGGGGGGGGGGCATTTCTGGTTAAAATTAATAATGTGAGTCGCTAGCCGGGAATTTTGTAATGGAGATTGGGGTGATCCCTAGACATTTTTTTTTGTTTCATAGTGAAGAAACGGCCTTTTTTAATTTTAGTAATAAAGGCCTCGATAGTAGTAGTAAATAGTTAGTAGTAGTAGCAGTTGAGTACCATCATTAACAACAACGATGGATTCCCTTCCCCCTTTTTCGTAAAATCTTTGCCTCATTTCTGCGCGGTATATACCTTTTTTTTGTGTGTCATTCATGAAATTGTTCACACGTGCCATTTAAGTAGCAGTACTATATCACAAGAGTTTGCAATGAGTTTCTTCTTTACTCACACATGTGTAACATATTTTTATCTCACAAACATGAAAAAAGTGAATACTGAATATGTAAGTGAAGTCGGTTTGACAATGGTCTTTCTTTACTTTGTAGTCGTATATATCCACGACATTCGTACATTACTGAGGAAGACACATTTTAGTACACATGCGTGTGCGTATCGCGCATAAGCGAGAGAGAGATTGAAAGGAAAAGAAGAAGATTTTGTGAAGAAATGAAAGAGGAAAAGATTTTGTGAAGAAATGAAAGAGGAAAAGATTTTGTGAAGAAATGAAAGAGGAAAAGATTTTGTGAAGAAATGAAAGAGGAAAAGATTTTGTGAAGAAATGAAAGAGGAAAAGATTTTGGAAGAAATGAAAGAGGAAAAAAGAAGAAATGAAAGAGGAAAAGATTTTGAAGAAATGAAAGAGGAAAAGATTTTGGAAGAAATGAAAGAGGAAAAAATTTTGAAGAAAATGAAAGAGAGAAAAAAAAGAAGAAATGAAAGAGGAAAAGATTTTGTGAAGAAATGAAAAAAAGAAGATTTTGAAATGGGGAAAAAGAGAAGAAATGAAAAAAAAGATTTTTGAAGAAATGAAAGAGGAAAAGAAAAAAGAAGAGAATGGGAGAAAGAGAGAAAAAAAGAAGAGATGGGAGAAAGAGAGAAAAAAAAAGAAGAGATGGGAGAAAGAGAGAAAAAAAGAAGAGATGGGAGAAAGAGAGAGAAAAAAGAAGAGATGGGAGAAAGAGAGAAAAAAAAGAAGAGATGGGAGAAAGAGAGAAAAAAAAAGAAGAGATGGGAGAAAGAGAGAAAAAAAAAAAGAAGAGATGGGAGAAAGAGAGAGAAAAAAAAAAGAGATGGGAGAAAGAGAGAAAAAAAAAGAAGAGATGGGAGAAAGAGAGAAAAAAAAAGAAGAGATGGGAGAAAGAGAGAAAAAAAAAAGAAGAGATGAGAAAGAGAGAAAAAAAGAAGAGATGGGAGAAAGAGAGAAAAAAAGAAGAGATGGGAGAAAGAGAGAGAAAAAAGAAGAGATGGGAGAAAGAGAGAGAAAAAAGAAGAGATGGGAGAAAGAGAGAGAAAAAAAAAAGAAGATGGGAGAAAGAGAGAGAAAAAAAGAAGAGATGGGAGAAAGAGAGAGAAAAAAAAGAAGAGATGGGAGAAAGAGAGAAAAAAAAAGAGATGGGAGAAAGAGAGAAAAAAAAAGAAGAGATGGGAGAAAGAGAGAAAAAAAAAGAAGAGATGGGAGAAAGAGAGAAAAAAAAGAAGAGATGGGAGAAAGAGAGAGAAAAAAAGAAGAGATGGGAGAAAGAGAGAAAAAAAGAAGAGATGGGAGAAAGAGAGAAAAAAAGAAGAGATGGGAGAAAGAGAGAAAAAAAAAAAGAGAGATGGGAGAAAGAGAGAAAAAAGAAGAGATGGGAGAAAGAGAGAAAAAAAAAAGAGATGGGAGAAAGAGAGAGAAAAAAAAAGAAGAGATGGGAGAAAGAGAGAAAAAAAAGAAGAGATGGGAGAAAGAGAGAAAAAAAAGAAGAGATGGGAGAAAGAGAGAGAAAAAAAGAAGAGATGGGAGAGAGAGAAAAAAAGAGATGGGAGAAAGAGAGAAAAAAAAAAGAGATGGGAGAAAGAGAGAAAAAAAAAGAAGAGATGGGAGAAAGAGAGAAAAAAAAGAAGAGATGGGAGAAAGAGAGAGAAAAAAAAGAAGAGATGGGAGAAAGAGAGAGAAAAAAAAGAAGAGATGGGAGAAAGAGAGAGAAAAAAAAGAAGAGATGGGAGAAAGAGAGAGAAAAAAGAGATGGGAGAAAGAGAGAGAAAAAAGAGATGGGAGAAAGAGGGAGAGAAAAAAGAGATGGGAGAAAGAGAGAGAAAAAAAAGAAGAGATGGGAGAAAGAGAGAGAAAAAAAAGAAGAGATGGGAGAAAGAGAGAGAAAAAAAAGAAGAGATGGGAGAAAGAGAGAGAAAAAAAGAAGAGATGGGAGAAAGAGAGAGAAAAAAAGAAGAGATGGGAGAAAGAGAGAGAAAAAAAGAAGAGATGGAGAGAGAGAGAGAAAAAAAGAAGAGATGGGAGAAAGAGAGAGAAAAAAGAAGAGATGGGAGAGAGAGAGAAAAAAAGAAGAGATGGAGAGAGAGAGAGAAAAAAAGAAGAGATGGGAGAAAGAGAGAAAAAAAAAGAAGAGATGGGAGAGAAAAGAGAGAAAAAAAGAAGAGATGGAGAGAGAGAGAGAAAAAAAAGATGGAGAGAGAGAGGGAGAGAAAAAAAAAGATGGGAGAAAGAGAGAGAGAAAAGAGATGGGAGAGAGAAAAAAAGAAGAGATGGGGAGAGAGAGAGAGAGAAAAAAAAAAGAGATGGGAGAGAGAGAGAAAAAAAAGAAGAGAAAGGGAGAGAGAGAGAGAAAAAAAAAAAGAGATGGGGAGAGAGAGAGAGAAAAAAAAGAGATGGGGAGAAAGAGAAAAAAAAAGAAGGGAGATGGAGAGAGAGAGAAAAAAAAAAGAAGAGATGGAGAGAGAGAGAGAAAAAAAAGAAGAGATGGAGAGAGAGAGAGAGAAGAAAAAAAGAAGAGATGGAGAGAGAGAGAGAGAAGAAAAAAGAAGAGATGGAGAGAGAGAGAGAAGAAAAAAAAGAGATGGAGAGAGAGAGAGAAAAAAAAAGAAGAGATGGAGAGAGAGAGAGAAAAAAAAAGAAGAGATGGAGAGAGAGAGAAAAAAAAGAAGAGATGGAGAGAGAGAGAGAAAAAAAAAGAAGAGATGGAGAGAGAGAGAAGAAAAAAAAAGAAGAGATGGAGAGAGAGAGAAAAAAAAAAGAAGAGATGGAGAGAGAGAGAGAAGAAAAAAAGAAGAGATGGAGAGAGAGAGAGAAGAAATAAAGAAGAGATGGAGAGAGAGAGAGAAGAAATAAAGAAGAGATGGAGAGAGAGAGAGAAGAAATAAAGAAGAGATGGAGAGAGAGAGAAGAAATAAAGAAGAGATGGAGAGAAAGAGAGAGAAATAAAGAAGAGATGGAGAGAGAGAGAATAAAGAAGAGATGGAGAGAAAGAGAGAGAAATAAAGAAGAGATGGAGAGAAAGAGAGAGAAATAAAGAAGAGATGGAGAGAAAGAGAGAGAGAGAAAAAAAAGAAGAGATGGAGAGAAAGAGAGAGAGAGAAAAAAAGAAGAGATGGAGAGAAAGAGAGAGAGAGAAAAAAAAGAAGAGATGGAGAGAAAGAGAGAGAGAAAAAAAAAGATGGATGGAGAGAAAGGAGAGAGAGAAAAAAGAAGAGATGGGGAGAAAGAGAGAGAGAGAGAGAAAAAGAAGAGATGGGGAGAAAGAGAGAGAGAGAGAGAGAGAGAGAGAGAGAAAGAAGAGATGGGGAGAAAGAGAGAGAGAGAGAAAAAAAAAGAAGAGATGGGAGAAAGAGAGAGAGAGAAAAAAAAGAAGAGTGGTGGAGATAAAGAGACAAGAAAAGGCGGTTGAAAAACAGAAAAGAATATGCTACGTATAGTGAAAGACCATTGCAGTCTGAACAAAATATCGCGCCGCGACTTGTGCAATATTTATTCTTACATTACAGTAGTAATGTATTCATAGTATTGATTCTTCTTTTATGTACCGCTTTCATATATTATCCAACATTCACTGCCATAAAGGAAGAATGATATTACATAAACAGTTCAGTATTTTTTTTTCTTTGTTTCTAACGAAACTTTTCTGTTTCTTAGTACGTTACTTAGCTATTGGAAGGCATCTTTCGCGGGATAGCACCTCTGGATTTCAGTTAAAACACTTTTCAGATATTGAAATTCTTTGGTTTTGGTATCTCCAATTTGTAATTTGCATGTAAGGCTGTTCCTTTTTCTAACAACAATTCATTCCGTCTTCTTGCAATTGATATTTAGTTCTTTTTTTCTCGATTTCCTTCACTACCTTCTGTTCTTGTAGTTTTCTTTTTCGTATCTGCTATCAACACCGTGTCATCTGTATATCTAATGTTGTTAAGATTGTTGTTGCCAATAATGAATCCTGGTAGGACTTCTAATTCTCTCAGAATTGCCTCGCTGTATAGGTTGAATAAGTCTGGTGAGAAGACACTTTGTTTTACACTCCTTTCTATTTTTGTATATTTACCGAACTCCTTTTCTATCCGTATGCAGGCCAATATAAGTTCTGGATTATTCTAATATCTTACCTAAATATGTCAAAAAGGTTATCTAGCAGTTCCACCAGTTCTTTGTGACGTATTTTATTGTATGTACACCTTATTTTGCATTTGTATTGCTCTTTCTAATATCCTGAGCATAAATATCGCATTCTTTGATTACAAACTCATATAGACACTCATCTTCGGTGGAAAACGATCGAATTATTTTGTCAATTCTGAAGATCAAAAGCTCTCGTGTGGAATTTACTAGTGGAGACAAAAATCGATCTTCATTCCAAAGCTTTACTGAAGTAAAATTAATACTTGGAAAAGTCATAGGTTGCTAGACATCATGCAATCGTTGGCCAATTGAATTGACAATTTTATCGTTCTTTAGTGTTTTTTTTTCTTCTGAAGATGAAAGAAATAACGCAAAGGGAAACGAACATTAGAAATTGTGAAAGAAAACAACCAAAAGTAAATACTTTAAAAACAAACGTTAACAAAGAAATTTTATACGCTTGAAGGGCACTAACCCGTGATTTCCTTAACCTTTTTCTACGTGTCCTGTCCTTCCGGCACATGAGAGATCATAGCTCTCCACGATATATTCTTTGTACCTCTTAGCAACGTTTGTCCTTTTGCAATTCACCCCCACTCACCATTCCACCAGCTATTCACACAAAATCGTCAGATAGGTGACCAGCTGACTTCCCCTGTCTATTTTGCCATCGACATACCCCACTTCTTTTCAAAACACCGATCTTGCTCATATTTTGTGGAAGAGGAATTATAGTAGTCTAATCAAATTTGAACGGAATATGATGAATAATAAAAGAAGGGCGTTTCTTCTATTCAAGCGTGTGGACATTACGGTACTATAAGCTTGCACAGGGAAACACAGTGGAATAATGGGTGGCGGCTCGGATTGAGGAATCGGAGAGCAGAGTTCAAAATCCAGTCGAATCCATTACATTCACTTACGTGTTAATACCCTTGGGAAAAGTATGAATCCTCTTCTCTCCCCAGTTATGGGTAAATAGCAGGGCAGACCGATTTCTATAGCCTTGGATGGCAACTGGTCTGCCACAGAAAGAAATGGCAACCTACTGCGACACGGGGAAAAAAAATCTGCCTCATCAGTCATGTATCGAAAGATACATGATCGCCTAAGCGTGTATCACGCATGGCACATAACTGACCGACTGAAGCTTGCACATAATTTATCGTGTGGATTTTCATCAATTTAACTTTTACGGTATTTCCTTGTTGATTCAATTTCTTTTAAAAGTGAACCGTTCAATAAATAAATAAAAGAATAAAATTAAAAAAGGTAAACATTTTATATTATTGAATGTTTTGAATAAAAGATAATTTTTTTTTTAAAGATCCATGTTGATTGATTGTCGGATAACACATTTCAGCCAATTGCTTATTGAATCTTTAAAATCATTAATAATTCCAATACGAAATTCTAAATAGTTGCTTCTTTTGTCAAACTAAATTAGCGACTTAGTCAAATCTAAAGTTTATTGAAATCAGTAAAATTTTACAAAGCAATAATTTGTTTTCAACGTGGTAAACTGTATGTGAGACATCTTTACACACGCGAGTTGCAAGAATTATAAAATTCTGTCATCAGTATAAAGACAAATAGTTGAAATATTGATCATTATTTTTTTTTTTGTGAGCAGCAGACAATTTATACAGTCATTGCTTGCCCACCTAGAGTCTTTTTCCTTCATCGCAAAACCAACCACTCTCACAGCTCTTTTTTTTTCTTTTTCAAATATGATCATTATTTTTAAGGCTAGTCTTTTGATTCCAGTAAACACTTAGCTTGGAGCGAAACTTACCATATATATTATGTCCTGGTTTAAGGAATCGTTTCCCGAAATGTATAAGCTATCAGTATCCGTTCTCATACATAATTAGTTGATGAATTTTAGTTCGACATTATTTCTTATTCCTAAAAGTGTTTGAGTAGTGACTCCTTAAAAAACAAAACAAAAAGAAACACGTTGTGAAATAGGTTCGAGAGCACATTATTTTTATTAAGTTTCTCAAATACACGGACCGGTAGATGTATTTTTCACGCTGTTTAAGATTAATAAAAGAACAACAAAAAGAAGGCGTCTGCTCAAATACGTGTATCCACAAAAATAACGTTTAGAACTTTAAAATAATAAATATTAAGTCAGCCCTGCATTAAAAAGTGAAAACTTTCTCAGTTTGGATTTGGAAATTAAGTCTAAATAAATGAATGGTGTTTTAATTATTACGAGGGGGTACTGAACAGGCATCAACATGACCAAACAAAAAATAAACAATCATAAAAAGAAAAACTTAAAATAAAAAACAATATTGTTCTTTTGGTAGTGAGTTGAGCTGATAACTTTTAGTTTTCAACGTTATTTTGTGGCATTGACTTTTATCAAGAGAGGAAGGGAGGGAAAAAAATCCATATAAATGCAATATTTCAGCAGTGCCAAGGTAATTGTAAAAGTTATCGAAAATATATATCAGCCACAGTTACGCGACTTAGAAAATTCCCTATTTACGACTACAACGAGAACCGAATTGAAAACGTGCGTCCCCATGGCTTCGCAAGGAATGATTTAGAAAACTTTTCGCGTCCATTACAGGTGCAAGGTACAGCAGCCTTGCGTTAATGAGAATTTGAAAAGTGAAACTTTTAAGCATGATCATAAACGACCCCACCCTCTAAACCAAGTGTTTACATGTTCACAGAAATGGGGCAATGTGACTAATGTCCAGAAGTTGTAGGTTTTCCGTTGAAATTTTCTTCTAGGCAAATGACAAAGCTTTTTGAAGAGGCGTAGACCCCTACAAAGGGAATGTTCTGACACTGATAGCATGGATGATCTGGAGTGATTGAAACGCGAGTCGTAAATTCTCCATAAATGTTCAGTTATATGACTCAAGGGCAAGTTCTAAAAACACAGTAAAATCCAAATGTTTCTGTGAGCAAATTAGTTTGTTTTTGACACCACTGATTGGTATTTATATCCAGATGAAAACCAAACACTAACTAAATATGAAATTGAATGGTAAGTAGGTAAACACCACTACTCGTCACCTTATAGAAAAGAAACACTATTTCCAACACAATTACAAAACACGCCCAAACTTTATTTTCTACCCAATAACTACAATATTACAAACATACCAAAATGATTCCACAATAGAACACACACTGTTTATTGGTTAGAAATTAATATCACCATGTGAAATATTTAACCAATCAGAGAAAACTAGAGCCTTATTTTTCTCCATTCGACTTTTGGGAAAAATTTATAAAAATCCACAGGTTTTGACATTCAAGAGCAGAGGGATGCGGCTGTCTCCAAGCCAAAGAGAAAACGTGATACTTAGCATTTTTTCAGCGTGTACTGAAAGAAACATGTGTCGGCGACTTCAAACGAAACAACAGCAACAAAGACGGTAAACGAATTTTCGCTAACGATAGTCTTTTTTCATCCACAGCTTTGACTGTGAACCAATTATTTAAATCACAGATTTTTCTGTGAACCCAAAGACTTTTATCCAACTAAAGACTATTTTTAATACTTTTTAACTCTTTTGAATTCATGTACATATGTTTGTAAATACAAATGATTTAAAAAAACTAACAAGCATGTTATTTTTATTTTATTGTTTGGAATTCGGACGTTCTAAATTTCTAAAGACGACTGAATTTTTTAAAAATTTGCTATATAGATACAAATAAATTTCTATACAGATTAATATAAATAAAAATTATTTATATGGAAAATCTAAAATTCATTTGCAATTGTACATTATAAATATGTGCCATTTTGGAACACTTAAAGAGTTATCACCTGAGATATTTCGTTGTTTCTGGAATGACTGACGAGATATCTCACGTTTTTTTCCTAAGTTTTCGTCAAATCGATTTTATTTTGTAATGACAAAAAGAAAAAAAAAAACTCAATTTTAGCTCTCTCCAACATACAAGTAAAAACTAACTGAGCACCTTTGCCGGTGGGTTTATCCATAGACTTCTATCGGAGTTCTATCAATCTTCTCAGATATTTTGTTAATCCATTCGTACATTCATTGTATATAATAAAAGTAAAACAATTCATGTATATTATTCAACAAAGGACACAAAATAAACATTCATTAATGACTGTAGTGTTGTATATTTGACAATGCCTCGAATAAAAAAAAAATCCTTCCGATAAAGAAATGTATTGAAACATTCTTCACGACTTTAATTTTTCTTTTAAAAAGTAATTGATACATTATTTTCAAAGACAACTTTTATGAAATGCTTGATTGTATATTGTCCACTAATCTTTATCCTCTACATAAAACGTGTGAAAGCACGTGCGATACCCTGTCTTCGTCAGCAGCCAACCAGAGGAGGTAACTAACATTGTTTCGGTACCTAAGGCGATACTGTCACCTCTGGCGATACCAGCAACTTTTGCTACCGGACAGAGTATTGTTTTTGTATACGTTTCAGTCTCTTGAGATTTCTTTTTTACAATTGCAACTGAAATTTTCAACGTTGTTTTAAAATACACAACGCTCGTAGCGACCGTTAATAATGACGTAGAATGGAAGATAAACAGATGTGTTTCAGGTCGGAAGTAGCATTGTGTTGTGAGCATATTTTTTTTTATTTTTTATTTTTTTATTTAACTTTATTTTGGATACTGACCAGATCCAACTTGATGCTTGTTGAGTTGTGGTCTATCACTTAAATATCAGCGTCTCTCACTATAATCGCCATGTTGATATTTGTCGAGTAGCCTATGAACCATAACCGTGGTAATTTGATCTTCATAAATTTATATAAAATATTTATAATAAATTAAAACACTTCATATAAAAATATTTTTGCTGGTGTAAAACAGAATTCACAAACGACTTCAGTGACCCATTAGGACCATAAGTGCACCAGATGTGCTGCAGCCATAGTAGCAATCCCATTCCTCCTCTTCAGGTTTATTTTAAATTCACATTTGTCCTTTTCCTCGGCTGGTTTTCTTGCTATTTAACCCATAGGTGGAAAGAGAAGAAACGTATTCATGCCTTTCCCAAGGGTATTTGGGTGAAAGTCAGACTAGCCTGGAATTTGAACACGGCTCGCTGACTCCACTTTTCGCACCGATATCCGTACGGTTTACAAGTAAGTATTCTTCAGACCAGTAGCGTAGCTAGAGGGTGAGCTTGGAGGGAGGCATTGTCTGCTCTGGGCGACACTTTTATAGAGGCGGCACTTTTGTGTCTGCTGTATAAACCTGTATTGAAATGAAAGTGGTTTTAATGTCGGGACACTATTCACACTTTTCAATTTCGAGTAACTTATAGCATACATATTTAAGCGATTGCTGTATTGGCCGACCAATAAGCATTATCTACTGATGTATTCTCAGGGCTGTTTTATCAGTGTTGATAATGTGAAACTTGTGTACAGACGCAGGGTGCGTTCTTATTAATGCCGCGACACCGCTGTACGCGGGAGACACATCTTTGTTGTTATATAAATTTCAGTTATTTTCCTTGACAGAAGTTCGTTTGAAAAGGGTGTGTTGCTCTATTTTTCTTTTGGGCCTGTTATTTATATATGTATGTATGTAAATAAAAGAGAGAATCACTGTGCAATATGTTATATTTTTTGTTGGGGGCGGGGGAGGTACGGAAAACTCAAGGCTGGCCTGGGCGGTAAATACTCTAGCTATGCATAAGGAATTTGAAGTAAAAGAAATCTTCGAAATAATTTTTGCTACTTACTGCAGTGTTTCTTGAATAAAAATTGTCATAAAAGTTTAGGCCGTTACCCTAATTTTGTTTTTTAAATGTTTGTTTCATATGTAAATATCGTTTGAAACGCTAAACTTAATACTCCAAAAATAGTGTCAATGAAATGTTATTGTGTCAGTCAATGTGTAGAATCTTCTGTGTATAATAAAAAAGCATATTCGACAGTTTAAAAATAGTTGGGGAGCATTGCCTTACTTTATTTCGCATAAACATTTGCCGCAGTTAGCACACTCATGTTTTGTAATTTTATAAATGCACGTTAAAAACAATTTCTTAACGACATTTATTTCGTAAACTGAGCAGATGCGCAAGCCGAAAAAGATCTAATCCGAATAGTAATCTAATAAGGCAACACCTACCCACCGTCAGACTTGCTTTTTGCTGCAGTAATTCAATTTGTTTTTACCTTTTTTTTTTTCAGGGCGAAACGATAATGATATCCTTTAGTTTTTATTTAAAAAGATATGAATAAATTAATCTTGACAGTGTTGCAGAATTAGGCGAGTAAAAAGCCTTGATCAAAACGGGAAATAAAGTTGAGACAGTTTTTTTTCTTTTATGATTTATTTTATTTTAAAGGAAAATATTCTCGTAAAAAAAAAACAAAAAACAAAAATCAGATTAATAATCGAAGAATAAGATCGACTAGTTTTTAATTTTGACGAACTGATAAAAACTCATATACCAGCAGATTCATATCAATCAAATACATTACATTTAAGTTAAATGTAATGTATTTGATTGATATGAATCTGCTGGTATTATTTTTAAATTAAATCTTCAGTTGCAAAGTTTTGTTTTTAAATTAAAAATGAAAAAAAAAAAAAAAAAAAAAAAAAAAATCAACCTCAAAATCCTCCGTCTACTTTCACTACACAGATATTAGAAGGCTTGTACCAGCTCAATTTTGACATTCCAAATAGGCAAT